AGGTAAAGAAGATGGGCACAGGCATTTTGGAGCAAGTTGCCATTATTGTAATAAAGGCAAATGACAATATGGAAAACCTTCTATTATGGAAGCTCATTTAGCACTTTATTGTAAAGGTTCAGTACCTGATGATATTAAAAGAAAATGGTTAATTGAAGTTGCTAAAAGAGGTGAAAAAGTAAATAATAAGGATAAAGAAATTTATAATAGAAAAAAAGTTAAAAGGTCTGATCAATTAATTACTTCACACTTCCAATCCATTAATAAATTATCCTCTCAACAATTCACAGACATTACAAAAGCATTGCTTAAAGCTTTTGTATATTGTGAAATTCTTTTTGCTATCATCGATAATCTGTATTTTCAAGATTTTTTAAACCTTTTACAATCTAGTTATACACCACCACATAAGGATGCACTTTTAGGCTCAATACTTGATAGAGAAATTGCACAAATTGTTGTTAAGTTGGAAGCAAACCTATAAAAAAAATAAAATTTAACTTTATGTAAGTAAATATAATTAAATTAATCTGGTTTTTTTTTTCTTCTGCTATCCTGAAGGTCCTTAACACCTTTATCATAAGTTGACTCATGCTTCATTAAGTCCATCATAAGAAGTTCTGATCTATAGTTAAATTAAACTTTAATTGGTGTAGTAATAAATATTTATTTTATTTATAGCACTGGATGGCTAGACCTCACCAAGGGGTGATTCACTTTATAACTATATAATTGCAACTCCAAGCCATCAAGAATATCTTTATGCTCTAGCTAATTATTCAAAAGAGCATCAAACAGAAAATTTTATTGCCAATAAAATTTCAGATATTATTGAAAAAATAGGTCCTCACTGTTTTGTGGCAATTGTAACTGATAATGAATCTAATGTACATATTGCATAACAAACTATCCATCACAATTATTCTCATATCTTAAATGTCTGTTGTATTGCTCATGCATTGAACCTGTTAGCAGCAGATCTTGTAAAAACAACATTAGTTAGAAATGTTTTAAAAAAAGCTAATATTCTAGTTTTATTTTTTCAAAAATCACATTTAGCAAACTATCTTCTATGAGATACTGTTTTATCTATGAATATTAAAGGTGGTTCATTAGAGACATATAGCAAAACATGCTGGGTATCTTTTATAATACAACGAATTCTATTATTTGCGTTAAGCCTGCAATTGATAAGGTTTATAAATTAAATTTTGTTATTTAACAATGCCAAATAAACTCTATTCTTTGATAATATTCAGTCTTAAAATAGAGTATAAGTATTGTCAAATAAAAACCTGACTTAAAGTCAGGTTTTCATTTGGCAGCACTCATATAATAACATACCTTTAATAATAATAATAATGTAATTATTATAATTATTATTTTAGATTCTTGAAAAACAACCAAATATATTTACCAACAAAGAGTATTTGAAATTGCATTTGATGAAAATGATAGTTTCTATCCTTTGTGCAAAAGAATTGCTTTAATTTTTGAACTAATCAAATGAATAATCAATTTGCTTGAAAGTTATACAGCAACTTTGGCTGATTGTTTTATAGAAATAGTTCAAATAGCTATTGCTCTTAAGAAAATACCCATCAGTAACAATTTTTATGCTCTTGCTATTGCTGTATTCAATGCTCGATATGAACTATTTGACATTTCTTTATATCTTCTAACTTATTTTCTTTATCCCAACTACAGAAATAATAGTTTAAAAAGAAAGTTCTATGATATTTGTGAATTGGCAGTTAGTTATTATAAAGATATGCATCATAGTGAAAAAGAATGTTGTGAATTAGTAAGTCAATTAATAAACTACAAAGCAAAAGTTATGCCCTGGGATATTGAGTTTTCTTTCAATTTAATGCCTGCAACATGGTGAGAAGTTGTTGAAGATGAATATAATCATTTACAAGAACTAGCAAAAACTATGTTTGCAATCATCCCTCTCAAGCCAGCTGTGAACAAAATTTTTCTATTTTGAAGTGGTTTAGTGAAAGATGTCACACACAGCTTCAAGTTTCAAGATTAGAAAGTATGATGCAGATCTACTCCTTTTATGTATCAAACTTTAAAAAAGAATTGAAATTTTATGATAATAATTGTATGGAGACAGAATTATATAATAGTGTATTAAATGAAACAATCTTTGCAAAAATGGATAATGTTGAATTAAATAATAAAAATAAAGATGAATTAGAAATAGTAAACCTCACAGCAAATGATATTACAATGGCTCTTCAAGATTTAGTAGATCTATCAGATCTGATATTTGGAGCAAATAATAATCAAAAAGAAATTACATTGTTCAATAGGGAAGAAACAAATATGGAATTTGAGTATATGTTGTTAGTTCAGGATACATTAGGTGATAATGATTTGTATGAATAATATTATGTACATTCATCTTGTATTTTGAATTTATTCAAGTTTTTTTTTTTGCTTGAATAAAAATAGTAAGAATCATTTTTTTTTATATCTTCAATTGAATATAACTCAACATATTGGACGAGATAAAACCATTATATGCCCAACATACCCAACATAGGAACAATTTGGTAGATAATGACTAAATAGGATGTATTGAACAGAGTGATATGTTAAATTAAATAGTTACATTAAATATGTATACTGTTATATAATCTCTTTATCATTGATTAACTTTGATCATATATGATCATTATAACTTTGTTTGAATTATGAATAAACTGTGCCAAAACCTTGCTGTAAGACTGTTAAAACTTAAATATAAAAAAACATTTTTAATAAGTTGGTACACTGTAATTATGATAGCAGGCTCAATTATAAAAGACAAACTTTTTACTTTTAATTAAATTAAGTAAAATTTGGGTAAAATTTGTGTAACCATCTATTAGATTAGGTAAATTTTGTGTAACCATCAATCTGATTTGCATTTTTTATTTGAAATAAATTTTAAACCCAGTTTTTATATATTAAAAATTTGGAATTCTTAGTCGATATATAAATTACATGTCAAAAGTGTTTGACATTATGAAAAATTAAGAGTATTTTACAAAATCTAGTAAATACTATTTGGGTTTCTACCTAATCCCAAACTAACAAGTTTGGGGCGCAACTCTAGTGGTGACCTAGTGAAGTAGTCAGGTTGTCAACCCCTCAAGTGGTAGGTTGGATGTTCAAATCCCATCGACAGTAAAAATTTGGATAATCACCTATGTAATATTTGTATTATAGCAACTGTTACTAATAATTGGGTTAGGATACCTGTAATAGTGGTTGCACCAGCATGACTGGCAGGTCATGGGGCATCTGTATAAGTATGGCATTATACAGAAGAATGCAAACTGACAAATCAGATGATGCAAACACTAGATAAGTTCTTGTAGTCATATAAATCCATTGAAATTGGGTAACAAGAAGTCCATTTAGGAAGACCTGAGTAGAAAGATAGCTGGATTTTTGATGGCTCTACTGTAAAGGCTAGCTCAGAGAAACAGATACCAAGGTCATAGTACCTAGTTGTAGTAGCTGGACAGGCAGAACCTTTGAGTTGGGAGGCTCAAAGGTACTACCAACCAGGCTATTAGAACGAACTAGAGGAAAAGATATCAGGCTGACCTGATATACTGATGGACTGGTCATAGTCCTATATGGGCTATCTAAATTGAAAGTTTGGTAAAAAGGCTAGACAAAAGGCTGGAGTATACTAAAG